CCGGTGCTGGCTGGCGCTGAGATGTCCTGGCTAACGAGGGGGGGGAAATCGAAGGAAAGGGAGGAACCGGAGAGCTCCCCGAGCCAGAAGGAACGGGGGCTGCTGGTTCAAGCCATGCTGGAGCACGGCGGGGACCCGTGGGACTGTAAGGTGGTCGGGCAGGACCCCACGCTAGAAGCGGCGGAGCGGCACTGGCTGAACTACGTGTCCCTGTACCATCCCAAAGGAGAGAAGAAGTGCTCGGCGCTGCAGTGGCTGCTCTTCAACCTGGCGCGGGCCTTGCAGGCGGCGATGGAAGAGAAGGAGCAGAGCATCCAGAGCCTGCAGGACAGTCTGCAGCTGGCCCGGGACGAGGTGCTGGCGCTGCGGTGCGACAGCTCCCGGCTCAGCGAGCAGGACGAGCAGCTGCGGGAGGAGCTGCGGGCCGAGGCGGCCGAGAACGCCCGGCTGAGACGGAAGGTGCAGTGCCTGGGCACCTTGCTGTCCTTGGGGAAGGGTCTGGGTCGGAGGAAGGTGGCGGCTCTCAGTAAGGGAGACTGGGACTCAGGGGCGTGGGGTGGGGACGGCTGGAGTTTGGAGATGCGGGAAGAGTCGTCCGTGCAAGGCGTGTGTGCTGGGGCTGCGCGGAAAGTGAAGCCGGTGGAGGGAGATAGAGGCCAGGGAGAGGGGGATATGTCCAGGAAAGAGGAGGTTTGGAGGAAACAGAAGGAGGGGTGGCCCGTGTGGGTGAACCGAATATGGACCTTGGAGCAGTGCACTCCCTTCACGCACGAAGCGGCGAAGCGGGTGGTGACAGCCATCGGGCTGCCCTGGCCCAAGGTAGGGGCCATTATCAGAGCCCTGCCTGCTAATGAGATATTGGGAGGAGAGATTTTAAGGCTGGTGATCAGAAATCTGGGAGAGTATGAGCCTCTCAAAGACAACATGGAGGGGGCACCCTGGAGAGATGTCCAGGAGGTGTCAGCCTACGTGTGTGGGAATGTCTTACTCCGAGCATTAAAGCAAAGGGAGAAACCGGTGACCCCTGACTTCGATATTTTTGAGGTGCACGTGGAGCAGGGGGATGTGGGGGTGCTGGCCTGCCGTGTTCCTGAGCTGCACAAGGGGTTTTTCATCAGCATGGGGTCTACTTTAATTGGCCGCCCCCTGGGTGAGTGCATGGCTACCTTGGAGAACATGGGCACCCTGATGGGACCTCAGGGGAAAGGGATGGCAAACAAGGACAGGATTGGGGCAAAGGGGAGGAAATACATTCCTAGACGGACAATTTGGAGATATTTAATAAGCCAGGGGGTGAATGAAGGAGAGCTAGATAGTCAGCCCACAGGAGTTTTACTTGCCAAAATGAAGAAAATCCTTCAGGAAAAGGGAATGAAGCAAGAGGAGATTTGGGAAAAACTGAAGCAGATGAATCTATCGGCTCCTCCCCCTGTCCCAAAGAAAAAGCTATACCCACCCTCAGGGGACTCTGAAGATTAGGAGTCCCAACCCCTGGTGTCACTGGAATTAACTTCCTGATGTGCAGGGGGAAGGGGCTGTGTGGACGTATGAAGTCTGTTGAAGGGGGGTTGGGGGAGTTGCTTTCTTAATTGCTATGTGATAAGAGACAGCATTATTAGATTATCAGGGTCCTCTGCTCCTGGCTAAATCAGTCGGGATATTGGGAGTAGGAAGGGGTAAAAGAAAGGGAAAAGAAGTAGAAGCTTAATTGTGGGTAGGGTAGGATAAATTGAATGGGTGGATTATTCTGGTAAAAGCAGGTGCAAGCATTTTAGGAATGAATCTCCTGGTTTAGTTCAAGGTAGATTTATCCAAGGGAAAATTGTTCTGCTACTGCCTCAGAAAGAGAAGTGATCGCAGGAGTTCTGAAGGCAGTGAAGTGCTGATCTAAAAGTAAAAGAGTAATAAGTGTAGTAAATGAAGAGCATGACATGGTTCCTGCCAAAGACCTGCCTCTTCCTATCCCAGTACCCATATGGCACAGAAATCTGTATTTTCACAATTTCTGTGGAAGTCCAGGGATGTGGAGTACATGGGTGTTGGAAACCCCTTGCAGCCCTGGAGTTTGGACTAGGTGGTCTTTAAAGGTCACTTTCAACCCAAACTGTTCTGTGAATTGTAAGGCTGTGTTGGGTAATGGCTTTGGCTCCTGGGAGTGGGCACCGCTTGAACAGTTGCAAGTTCAAGAGGCTGAAGGAGAGTTTGTGTCAGTTCACATTTTTTGCCATTGACAGAACAGCAAGCTGGACAGAGGCAATGGCACTGTGTGACTACTGCCTACATCATACATTGGTGTCTGTGTGAAGTATTGAATGGATGTGGTCCTCCAATCTTAACGGGTTCAGATAAAGGAAACCACTTGACAGATGCACCAGACCAGAAGTTCCTGGGGGGCATAGGGGTGCATCAGTAAACTCACGTCTCCTACCATCCACAGTCCTGCAGGGTGCTGGAGAGAGCTGAGAGGTTCAACACACAGCTGAGGAGCAGCACACCAATATAAAGCAATATGAAAATCCACCCCCACTGGGAAATGTGGTCCTGTCCATACCACAGGTACAAGGGGGAAGGCCCAGAGAAAACTTAGAGTTGATTGTGTTTTGTGGGTTGGGAAACACAGAAATAATTGGAGACAAAGAAGGGAGGGTTTCATGGATAGATGAGACTCACTGCCAGGAAATCAAAGAGAATGTTTCTGTCTAAGGTGAAGTAAGATTGGTCTTCAGGAAATGGCTGTGGAATCAATCACAGGTGTGAACCATGGAGTGCCTCACTGAGAACAGTTGTCTTCAAGATGCTTATTGTTGTTTTAAAACAGCATCAGGGATGTTGTTAAAGCACTGCAGATGCTGTTCATTGTGTTCTGCTGGCTTCTAGGTGTAAGAGCAATAGTTTAGATGGGAGCATCACCACTGCTGTTAATAATTTTATTTCCTTTGGGAAATATGTCAAAGGAATTTTAATGAGATCTGGAGATGATGGAGATGACCTCAGATGTTTGGTTTCCCAGTAATAAGCATTTGTTATTTCTTCCAGAATTATCTGACTCCACAGGTAAGATGGCATGGACTGTACAAAAAGACTGAACTGATAGGTTGGATCCTCGTGTGGGTCAGCCACAGAAGTTGCACATGGTACCAGTGGTACCTTTGAAACCAGTGTGATGATGGGGGATGCAGTTGTATCACCTGATATGCTCTTAATTGTTCAGGTGGTGCAGTTTTAGGTTTGGACACTGAGCATGTCTAGAACTAAAATCACACCATCCACAAGTATCCACAAAACCTATAGTATCCATATTAATCCTGTAAGATGAGGAAAGAGATGAAGAATTGATATGTGAGGCATGTAACTATTCTAGAATACTCTGAAATGTGACATGAGTTGTGCATCTCTTATGATTGCAAAGTCTGCATCCTTGGAGATACTTAAAAGTATCTGCAGACAGTCCTGGGCAACCAACTCTAGGTGACCCTGCTCAAGCAGTGGGTTGGATCAGATAATCTCAAGAGGTCCCTTCAAACCTTAACCATTCTGTGATTGTCTATGGAAATTGGCAGTAATTTTGAATCATAGACAAGGTAAATGGGTAACAAACTTGCTGTTTAATGCAATAGCAGTGATAACTACCAAATATAGCATGTGGTGTAAAAGCAACTGCCAAGTTAAAAAAACCCAATCAAACAAAACAACAAACTGTAAGGGATTAAATTAAATATCTGTTGTACTCAAACTCAATTTTTAGTTATTAAAACAGCTTTTTCAGATGGATCATCTCTGTTCTTGTGGATAGTACAACAAAAAGATCCCATATTACAAGGAAGTGTCATCAACTGCTGGTGCAATGACCGTATGTGCTCGTTCTGTATAGTCGTGGACTGCTTGAGGATGTTGCTGCTCATCAATGGAGCATGTTAGCCTGGCATGGTGTTTGGTAACAGTGCAGGCTGTGTTTGTGTTGCCTTACCTGTAATGGAAGAGTGGGAGGCTCACATGGACCTATGGCTCCACCAGGAGAAGACCAAAGATGTGATATTACATCCATTGCTGGTGTACGTTCATTTGCCTGTTCTCAAAAGCAGGATTTTGTTACAGACTGAGGGACTAATGATGTCTGTCTGGGAGCTGAGAGGCCTTGCTGGGAAGAGGTCAACATGACAACACATGGAAGAGAGCCAAGAAACCAGAGAATAGACAAGAAGTTGCAAGCCTGAGACCACCTTGGCGGCGAGTAGGGAACTTTCAGAACTGGGGACTGAAATTGTGAACTGTACATTGCTGGCATGACATATCCATGGGTTGGTTTCCAGAAGTACTTCTATGCAGCACTTAATGCACTTAATCCTGTAGTTGTTATTAGTTATGATAGAAGTCACATTGTTCTTTATTTTTATATACTTTGTTTCAAAAGGAAAGTGTGTGAGTAGGTGCCCAGCTGAACATCTTGCCTGTGTTGCTAACAGCTGTGGTGGCTTCCAGCCAGAAGGGATTGAGCTTTTTGAGCACCCAGAGTGGTCTGAATGTCCTTGGAGGAAGGCAGGCAGACCAGGGGGTGGCTTGTGAGCAAGAGGTCCTGCTGGAGCACACAGCCCCACAGAGCTGAGGCCCCAGCAGTGCTGGCAGAAGGGAGACAAACAAGTGCCTCTGCTGCTGTTCTCCAGTATGTAAACTGCCAGATAAGATCCTGCTAGTGCTTGGTCAGCTTGCATAGGGATCAAGGCTAATTTGGGTAGTCTAGTAACAGCAGGAGATAAAATAAACGCAAGGGGACAACCAGGAGTCTTGGGAAAACAGGCTGCCTGCATCTGGTATCCCTGCCAGTAACACCATATAAGGCTGGAACTGCCTGGGTAAAGGCATCAGAAATACAGTTAGGTATGGCTGTAGCAAAACCAGGACCAATGGGGAGGAAGTAACTGGGGGCAGTTTGTTTATTTGGGAAGGATTTGAGTGGAGGAGAGGAGGTAGCAAAGGTGGGCCATGATGCTGAAGAAGAAAGGATGAGGTGTGAAGTCCAGTGAAGAAGACCAGAGGGCTCCAGCTGATGGTAGAAGTGTGGACACCTATGGCCTATAACAATGACGACCTGCAGATTCTAGGCCTGGGAGGCTGGAAGGTATCACCTAGGATAACCCACTGGACTCACTCCATTAGGTCTATGGCCATATGTTGGGGCATGGAGGAATGAACTTGCACCTTGGGACTTAAAAAGCCTGCTGTTGACTGTTGGCTGTGTGTGAGAATTATTAGATCTGAGATTGAGAGTTTGTAATTTCATAGCTGTGCCTTACAGTTTTCATAAATATGTAACTTGATCAGTGTATGGTACTTAGGTTATTTTTCTGTTTGGCTGTTTTCCTTCTAGTGTGTTCACCAGTCAATAAACAGCGTGCCTCAGTTATGTCTTGGGTAACTGGTCTGAAGAGGAGAGCTGCACCTCAGCACAGTCACAGAGCTGTGGTCCATGGAGTCCAGCTGCCATGGGAGTGCTGCTTGCCACGAGCCTTCCTCTAACAGGCCTGAGCGTCCCAGGGAGCACTTAATCCTGTACTAAGGCCCAGAATCAGGTCTGACCACCACTTGCCCAGGAACACCATTATTGGCCTGCCTGTGCACAGTCAGAGAGGCAGAAATCCATGTGTGTAGTGGCGAAGCAGAAATTGCTGATAACCACAATAAACCATCAAGGCTGCTATGGGTTCCCCAAGTCCTCCCACTTTGCCCAACATTAAAGAGCAGCACCAACAGCCTGCCAGGGTGGTCATGGTAGATGTGGTTTTGGGTAAGATGCCCAGAGCCTCCAGTTGCTTTGGAAGAGCAGCAGTCACTCAGTGCAACAAACAAAAATATGTTAAAATTTTTAGAAGAATAAGAGTAATGGTCTGCTGAGGTGTTGGGTCTTACATGATGGGCAAATTAAGTCTGTCCTTGAAATGGGGTAAATTAAAAAATTCAGAAGAATTTAAGTAACTTTAAACCCATGATTCTTACAAGAGTAAAATGATGGTGTAATTAGCAGTGTAATTCTTTCTTTTCCATGAAGTACCCTCGAATCAATATAATTATGGGAGATACTTATTTTTTTTAAGGGAAGGTTAAAATGGTATTGCTGATTCATCAAGAATCTGCCTCTCAAGCATCAATAGAATCACAAAAAGAAAAAAAGATAAATGAATGCATACCACAAGTCATACTTATACAGGATGTTCCTGTTTTGTGTCATTTCAGTTAATAGCAGGTACCACAATGGTGAGTCAAGACTAAACCTCTCCAAGTGTGCACACTTACCTTCTTCTCTAGAATAGCCTCAGAGTCCATTAGCTGCCTCCACTTAAAACTGGACATACTGGGTAAACCACATGCAGTCAGTAGATGGCACCAAATCATTACTATTACCTGTGCTTTCCAGCTAAATGCAACAGTGTGTCTCAGCTCCAAAGAACTCAGGCTGTAATCATAAGGCGAGAGACAACAGGGGGATGGCAGCAGGGAGGTGGAGAGAAGATGCTCAGTGGCAGGTGGTGCACACCCAGAACCCTGCTGCACTTGCACAAAGGTGAAGCCCTGAGTAGTCTTGCCAGCCTTGCCCACACACAACTCCAGGGATGGAACAAACATTCCTGCTGGCCCTGGAGAAGGCAGATGTGCAGTTTAGTCACTGCAGAGACACATCACATTAATAACCACCACACTGTAATCAAGTACCACTCTTCATTAGTTTGTGAATCATCTCTGTAGCCTAAAGCAGGGACATCTTACCACTGAAAGAATGTCACTTAGCTGGGAGGAGACACAACCTCTTGAAGCCGCAGGAAGTATATAACAGGTTTCTGATTTGTTTTTTAAAGTCTGATCCTTCCCACTTTCCCTCTTGCATCAGTCATGATACATCAGTACCAAGTATCTTGGATAAGGTGAGTGTTAAAGTGGCTGTTTGCATCTTACCCCACCAAACTAACACCACTAAAGCTTTCCTGTGTAGTACTACCCAAACTGACAAAGCATCCAGCACAAGCATTTCCTCACTTTGCAGCACAGCCATCCCCAGCAGGGAGCTACCAAGGAGTCAGAGCCAGGCCAAGTGTCAGGACCCAAAGGACAAGATCTTGTGATGGAACAGTGCACAAACACCCCGCACCTTCCCACTTTTCCCTACAGGGACTGAGGGTAAAGGTAGCCCCACCTTTGCTGCTGCTGCCTCCTCAGAGTAGAGATAGAAAGCTTCCTTCTACAGCAGGCAGAGAGCAAGTGACAAGAGAAGGGATATTGAGACATCCCCCTGCCAGCTTCTTTGGACAGCTGCTTCTGCTAGTCCTGGTGCCTCCTCACGTACAAACTGACACATAAGACCTGCTGCTGTGGGGACACACACAGCTGGTGCATTTTTTCACCTGAACAGGCAGTAGACCATTTCAGCTTTGTATCTTTGGAGCTACTTTTGTCCTGTGCTTGATGTCTTCCCTGTGCATTTCCACAGCCAACTGCAAGGGCTCAGCACCACACTGAAGTCTGTCCATCAGTCAGACCCTTCTGCAAATATTTAAAAGTCCACATATCTTACAATAATGTCAGTCTCGAAACACTCAAGTCTAAAATTAAAGTTTATTTCAGCTGTAAAAAGAAACCGGGAAATATGTACATAAGTATCTTAAGAGTCACACAAGTGATAATGTGCCGTTTCTTTTCCATGTGTAGTTCCCACTGCCTGGCACTTGGAGATAACTTATTTCTCAGTGCCTTTTAGATGTTTGACAATACACACAAAAATACAGCTTCCAGTGGGAATCCCAGAAATTGTAATGCACCTCAGAAGGTCAATTTTCAAATTTTGTTCAGTATTTGGTATAGAAAAGACACCTCAAACATGACCTGGGCCAGCAGTGTGCCTGTAAGGCTGGTGAGTGATACTCTGAAAGCAGGCAGCTGCCTTCCACCTCAGGTGGCAAACTGAGGCTGCCGGACCCAGCACTGCTCGAGAGCAGAGGTGCCGTGCAGCCTGTCGTCCATCAGTCCCAGGAACAGCAGCTGACTGCAGGATTTAAAGTTGTTCTTTCCACCTGAATGGCTTACCCAGTACTTCTTTGCAAACACAGCTCCAAGTGCAACCAAAGGGAACTTTGCCTGATCAAGGAAAACAGGGCTGCACTTTGCTTTACATACAAACAATCAAAGAAGTACAGACCACTGACTGACAAAGGGTACAATCAGGGGGCTATTCAGATGATACATTATCTGTATGGAATACAGCTTATCATATACTTTCAGTATGAATACAGGGTCTTTGTATTAATACATTTTTTTAAGAAGTGGTCATATTGATTTACCTGGCTCAATTTGAAAGATTAAACTCTTTGCCACTCATTCAACATCTTTTGCACTTAAAGAGTCTTTAATTCCCACGTGGAGAACAGCACTTTAAGCACATGTGACTGTGCCTGATGTCAGGCCAATGTTGGAGCTCTTTACTGGACTGGGACTAAGGCCAACATCTCCTTGCATGACTGAGCACTGGAGACATTAAAAGAAAAGCAATAACAACAAAATCAACTCACTGTGATTAATTCTGGACTCTGAATTTAAGTACTCACATTGAGCAGTCAAGTCTCCCTGCGTGTTCAGTAGGGGAGGGAAACTATTCTTTCTTCTCTTAACCCATTATATGTGGTAGGTAGGAAACTAGTTCCCTTACTTCAGCATTACACTCAGATGCCCCTCAGCAGGAGTTAATTAGTTCAACTAATGTTCTTCAGAAAAATGTGTTAGTGAAATTAACCTGTACTAGCTCTAGCTAATCAGTGTTTGCTCTCAGTAAAAATACTGGTTAATAAGTAAAACAAATGCCTTCAACAGAAATGGTGGTTAAAATATTTTATTTTTTTATATAATAGAACATACTGCTGTTTACTTTAAATCACTTTAGAGTAAAGGCACACATTGTTAAAAATACTTCAAATTTACATCACATGTACAAATGCATAAAACAGATGTACATGTCACCAAAAAAATACAATATGGCTTCATAAGGTTGAGGCGGGGCTGGGACAATTCAACATATATTTAAATTTTACAGGATGCTGTCAACACTGAAAGGACTGACTAGAACAGAAGAGAATGGACCTAAATCACTGATTATGTTATATAAATGGTACAACACATTGAATATACAACATCGAGAATTTGTGTATGGATTCAGAGAATTGTTAGTTCTGCAAATTCATCACTTTCCAGTGCCACTGAGTAAACAGTGCATGCATATGATCTGCCAATTTGCAACAGTGGGAAGATAAATTGCAAATTCTCCATGCACAAACAGGTTCCTTGAAGAATCTGCTGATATGCTTTGTAAAGAAAAAAAACTAAAACAATAGACTAAAGGTACTGACTGGAAAGAATAACTGAATAACAAACAGACAACTTAGATGGTAATCACTTCTGGCTAAAAAGCATAAAACATTACATCTGCAAGAATGCTCCATGACAATCATTTAGCATTAGTCCCACCCAAGTTTAAGGCTCCTATCTAAAATTTACCTTAGATTTGTTTTCCTTCTTGTAAAAGTACCTGAGCACAGATATCAAAGATCTACAGAACTTTTAAAATATCTGCAGATACTTTAAAAATCTGTAGATAACTTAAAGCAAAAACATCAATATATTGAATTCTACCAGCTAAATATTTTCAAAAAAACAACCAACAGAACAACATTTTGGTAAGTCAGTAAAGCCGGGAGAAGAGTAAGCTTAAGCTTTTGCTTTCTTCTTTTAAAAATGTACATAAAATGTAATAGAATTATTCAAATAGGACTGCTTCATTATAAACAATACATTAAATGTTTTTTAAAAACAGGAATCAAAATTCAGGCAGTCACTCTTCTATAAATTGTTTACAAATGCTGCTTTTCCTCTTGCGAAAAACGGCTGGTGGTTTCTTAAGCACTGATAAGATAGAAAATAAAAGGACCTGCCCCTACTGTATTCTGTATTATCATTTACATTTTGTGTCCAAGAAACATGAATTGCATGAATTGCTGTCATTCTCATTTGCAAAGGTTTATTCCCCACACAACTGTAAGGCCCAGAAAAGCACCTAGCATCATCTTAAAAGCTCTGCGGGATCGAGTTAGATTCAGTAAGTGTAAAGATAAACATGCACTTTAATAATTTGCTGCACTGGAACTCATAAAATTTTCAAAGTGTCAAGGCAGAAAAGCATCAGGTTGCATGGACAGACCAGCTCCCAGCAAAGTCAATGCCATCACAGAGAGGAGCATCAGACTCTTAAGTTAATTTTAAAAGCTCAAAAAAGACAACACTGCACAGAAGATACAGGTACATACTTTCAGCAAACAAAAGACTGTACAGGACCATTTCCAACACAAGGTTTTGGAAATACATCCCACTCAAAGTGGTTTGTTGATTTTATTGAGCCAACTGAAAACAACAAAGAAACACAAAACACATCATCTTTTCCTCCTCCTGCCTCACACACTGGTTCCCATCTTTCATTCCCAAAAGAAACTAATACAGATAAAAACCTCACTTTAAGCAACTGTATATGAGCCTGAGAAGCAAATGGGACTTCCATTCAAATACATCAGGTTAAAACTTTGATATGTCAAAATTATCTGTATTGTTGAACTGGGACTAGCTGATTGCAGAGGGCACTTTACAATCACTGACAATCCTGTATAAAAAGAGGGTACAAAAAAATTCCTATAAAATATTAAACTAGAATTAAAAAAAAAAAAAAAAGAAAGAAATAGATTGATGATGGATGACTGTTCTGGATAATTAGCAAAGAAAATAACAGCAGTACCCATAATTCTATGTATAAATAGCAGGTAATACAAATCAAATGCTACAGCTAGTTTGAAAAACTAAATTGAACATTGCTTTCCTATTAAATAGATTAAAATATTCATCCACCGAGAAATTACATTGATAAATAAAATATTTTCATGTATCAAAAATGAGGGGCAGGTACTATCAATTCCAGACTTCTTACCCAAATATGAAAGGTCTGAGAAACAAAAGTAAATTGTACAGTAGTTCTAGCCTCTTAAATTTACAATACTGAATCCAGCAGGATATGGCTAAATAATACAGTTTAAATAAGCTAATCTAAAGGAACAGAGTGTCCTGTAAACATCTGACACAAACCACATTGCATTCTGATGGGTTGGCTATTCCTTCTCTATGCAGAAGAAAGACAATTCAACTGATGATGGTAATGAGGGATGCAATCTAAAGGCAACGTTCCTGTTCTTCAATAAGGCTTGTAAAAAATTTGAGCAGTGTACGTATGACAGCCTGTACAACTCTGAAATTCCTGGAAAGCTCTTGAATTTAAAAAAAAAGCCTAAATGTTTTACGTATAAAACACACATTGAGAAGATGTCCTTTTAAATTATGTGTAAAAGTGTCTGGCACCAGAAACAACCACTTGGTATTATTATACCTAAGAAAATAAAAGCAAAGAATCACTCAAGACAAGTGTCCCTGAACTTCGGCAGAGATGCAGCCGATTAGATTACTTGGTGTTGTTCTGTTCCTCTGGAAAAGAAGTCATGAACACACACTCTTTAAGCTGCCTGTACTACATCATCAGTAATATATATATTATATATACAGTATGCATATATAATATATATATCTGCATACACATTTCTTTTAGCTCAATCTGGAATCATCTGGTTTCATGCAACACACTTACCAGGAATCAAAACTATTAATTAGGTCATAGCTGGTGTGACTTTAGTATCAAATCTTTTACTATATAGTGATTGACATTGCTCAGCATCAATCAGCTCTGACTGAAATCCTCATCTTCTTTCAGTCCAGTTCACGAGTTGCCTCTATCACCCTTTTTTCAGCCCCTTTCTTCACACAGTGCCTCCACTGGATGTTCAATGCTGAGGCACCTCTGTCAGCCTCTGAAGATAGCTCTGTGCTGCTGGCATCGAGAGAACAAACTGAACTGTCCTGTGACCTATTCGGTAGCAGCCATATCCCAGCAGTCCAAAAACTGTTGCTTTTAAGACAAATTTGAAAATCTTACTTGAAGTTGATGGAGGAGGCACACTGAAACAAAAGATAAAAAACAATATTAATATTTGCATGGCTGCTAAGAGCAGGCATTTTCCAACCAAAAAAAGGATCTTTTCTCTCCCTTTCCCCCTTATAGTGCAGGAAATTTTCAGGTAACAGATGCATCATGCATTAACAGTGTATTATTTCATGTTCAAGGGCTACCTACAAATTAAATAACAACAATATTAAAGCCTTTTCTATTTATGTATGATGCCACTCTTAATGGCTAGTCTCTCTAAATCATATTTTAAACACCTAAATACACCATCTAGGCAGGTCACTGTTTTTTCTGATTTTCACAGACTGAAGAGAAGGGTGAGTTGGTTACATAAACACAGTAAACACATGTGATAAGGTAAAGTGTCAATATTTGAAAGGCTCTATTACCCTAAAGCACCACAGACCAATACTACCAGGTCATATTATAATACCTTCTGTATTTCTGAAGTCCTGACCTTTGCGGCTTTATAGGATACGTGGTCTGAACGTTTTTGTTCTTCAATTCTGTCTTTTAAAAAGCACATACATCTATTTTAATAGGTATCTGGAGCAAGAGTTCACCAGATACATGGCTTAAATCAGCCCATATTTAGGTATACACATTAAAACAAGTCATTGCTTACATATACAGTTAAGAATAGGCTACAAGCAACTGTGACACTAAGCTTGCAAGAGCCAGCAGTGTCCTGACACAACTAAAGCTTTAAATCCAATAGTTGATATTTACCTAAGGTAGACTGGAAGCCTAGTTTTGTTTTCACCATCTTCTACAGCCCCAATTTGAATTCTCATTTTAAAAGACTTTAATGAGGACCAATTAATTTTCTTTCTAGATAAGGACATTCTCATCTCTACTTCCCTCCATATTCAACTATTTACTTTTTTCCTTTGATATTTTTCTTTGCTGTAAGCACAATGTGCAAGCACTGCACAGCAAGTCAGTGAGCTGACAGGGTAGACATGACAGCAGTGATGTTTCTTCAAGCCATGACAACCAACCAAAAAACCTCCAAAGAAACTAGTTACTACTGGTTTTTAGCAAGAGAAGCAGTTACATCAACATGTAGGAAAGGATGACTGTTACCTCATTATTTCCTGGATCTTTAAGTCAGAATTCCAGTTCTTCTCAATTCCAGGTACATGACCCATGCCAACAACACCAACTACAACAGCTGGGATATACCTTCTAGGCTCACCTGAGAAAGAGAGGTGGAGAAAAGGAAGCACACTCATAAAAGAATTCATTTCAAGCCAGAAATAAATAGCAATGTGTGAGAATACAAAATTCATTTTTCCAGGACACGGGGACTCTTATGACCAGATATTGAAACCCTGTTACATACTCATCTCACCTACTGCCTCTTTCACTGAAGTCTGAAAAAATCAGCAGAGTTTTAAATTTTCAAGAATCACTTGTTTTGTAAACAGACATGGTTGGTGCTCATACTCCAGCCTCAGGGTGAAAGGCTCAGCAGATGCAAGGTAAATTAATTTCTTTCTTTCTCTGGGTAGGTCATGTTTCTTTACCGCTTATCAGGAACAGCCCTGGTCTTTGCTGTCTATTGAACAGAGAGCTTTCTCCACCACTTTGGACAGTGGCAGCTGGCACATACCCAAACTGTGACAACACCTGGGCTAACAATCTGAGAGCAATGCTCGAGTCTGTGAAGTTTACTGTTAGAGACCTGGCCTCAGCAACTGCAAAACCCAGACCATTGACATGCAGCAGTTGACCAGTCATCTTTAGACCACTGCAACATGTGCCAACTCTCACCCTCACCTCCCAGCTACCATCCAAATTTCACAACACCCAGTGGAGATCAAAATATTGTTCCTGCTCTACGTGGTATCAACTGAAGAGATTAACATCCATTTTTAATTTTTTTAAGCACTGTATCTTATGTGACATGTGGCATTCATGAATAGAACATCCCAGATTTCCTGAGAACTGAACTTTGGACCAGTACACAGAGAACACCTTGCTGGTTATGATATCTGTTTTAAAACAATTACTTTCTGAAGCTCGAGGTAGTTCTATCTGCTTTGCTGCTTGCTTCAGCATGTACGTCAAGTAAATATCTCGTTCTGAGACAATCGTTCGATGAAGATCAGGGAATTCTCCAATCATTTCTGCCATCATCTGCTCCAGTAAATCCTTCTGTTTGCATTTCTCCACATCATCTTTACTGAAAGAAAGGTAAGTTTTCTCAGTATCTGTTATGTTTTTAGAGGCCAACACAGATAAATCAATGAATAAAAACAATTGGGCATTATGCACATTATTTACCTAAACACATGTTCTACAGTTCTCCTACCTCCGTTATCCTTTCCAAAAGGGAAACAATCTCCATAAACCTGTAAAACTGGATACATAACAATGCCTCTACAGTGAGGCAAAGGGAAAGAAGAAAGGTCACTTGCCTTTAGCCAGTTCAACTGGATTTTTCCCCTTCCCACTTTAAAAGCTGACAACTCAACTCAGCAAGACCACTAGGGCTTCAAAAGCAACACTTATGGTGCCCACTTTCAGTCTGTGTTAGAAGCTTAGAAGAGCCAACAGAGAGCACCCCTGAGGAAGCAGATCACTGAACACACAGAGGCCCTACTTAAGGAACAAAAAAAGCACACCATAAGGTACAGTCTGAGAGGATGGAAAGATATGTGCAGATTCCTAGTGTCAATCACAGGTCTTCAGCAGAGAAGTCAATGTTTTAAGAAGTCAATTCCCAGAACAGAATAGAAAATGGGCAGGAAATGAAAAGTAAGAACTGCAGGAGTAAACGTAAGGAGCTTTTCTAATTTTCGTAGGTGCTGTAAACCCTCCTGCTTGCACCCACAGCTGTGGTACAGCCATAGCTTGCAGCAACAGAATTATCTGGTTTTGCATGTCTACTGAAGAATTATGTCAAACACGCTTCCTTTAGTTTCCAAGATGAAAAGGACATTACAAATGTCAACAGAGGAACTGAAAGCAGAAATGCACTGCTAGCTTCATGAGCTGTGCAGAGTTCCAGTCACAGGGTATGAGAGAGGCCCTGAGATTCAGGGACCAAGAATTTTAAGAAGTTTTTTGTAAGTTCACCAGGAACTCTCCAGCACCAAGTCTTTCGCTTCATGGGGAAGTAAAGCATCAAACAACAATTAAAGAAAGAGCTGGAACAAGATCGGGAAAGAAGCTTTCTTTTCAAAAATACCTGTTATTGCAGGGTAGTTTGTATATTTATCCTTCTTGCTAACTTCAAATTTTATTGCATCAGGCTGTGTACCCTTATACTAAAGTCAAACAGAGGAACTGAACAACTCACCCTGACAAACATATGGGATGCTTATTCATACCTGATTGGGTCAGACAAGAAGCAAAGGCCCCAACCAAGCTTGACTTTTTGCCAGAAGGAAAGTGCAGCAATTGCTCTCTTAAATGTAACAGGAATGGGTCGGTCACCAAGATGGAATTTACAGAAGGGTACTTTACTGGCCTGAAAGAGAAGATACAAATCACTAGTCAACGTTTCATACTGCAGCACAGTACATCCTTATTAATGGAATGTTAATGTTTTATTGTGTTATACAAGGTACCTTGAAAAAGAGCAAGTAGTGTCATACTTCAACATAAAAAAATATTTTGGCTTTGCAGTAAATAAAATTTACAAAATACTACTTCATAAAGGAATAAATCAGCTACACAATGTAGTAGGTATTACAGTTAAAACATTAAGTTGTAATGCCACACTCTTTACGTTAATTTTACTGAAGCAGAAAGCTTCTGCTTACTACTACGTAAGGTGAGCAATGGGGCTTAATATCTATCTGGGTCTGAATAAAGTTGAGGTGAAACAACTGCAATCATTTCAACTTTTACCTAGGATTTGTCAGGATCATTAATTTTTCAGTTTGTCATGGTAAAATATATTCAAGAAGGAGGTTATGAAACAAGAACTGATACCAGATACCATGAGATAACGTGAGCTGAGACTTGGTTGTAGCTCATACTGACAAATTTTAGTGTAGCACAGACTTTCTAGAAAATTATTTCCTATGAACAGTTGTTTAAAAATTTCAAGCAATCACTTTAGAATAGGACAGAGTTACTTTTTTCTTCTTTCCCACCTAAAATGTTTCATTCTGGTCTAGAATGCTCAAGAAAATACACCTTGAAAAAGTTTTCTTTTTATTAAGGATAAATAGACTAAATTATTCCAGATTCTTTATTGGCAATGTTATCTCAGATTTCCTTATTAATACATAATTTCCCTAAAACCAGCAAGATGCATTCTGCAAGGTGGATATGTACATGGAAAATAGTATCCCAGTGCTCCCAGACAAAAAAAAAAAAAGATTAGTGTGATACATAGCTACTATTTAATTCCATGTATCACAGATGGCAGTAGTACAAAAGGGAACGTTAGAAGACCAGACAGGAGTAACAGACCAGTCAGATATTTCACTTCCCCAATTTTTCTGGATTAATGTGTTAGATCTCATTAATACTTTAGAGCTGGTTTTCACATCCTGAACTCCTGACACCACCAACAGTGGGACCATGATCAACACTCAGAATTCAAAAACAATTACTTTAAAGGAACTAAATTATTAATGAAAACAAGTGTCATCAGAAATACCATTGAGAAAAACCCTTACTGTTTGAAGCCTTTTTGGAGTTGCTTTCATACCACTTATGGCTACAAACTTTTGTACCTTTGAGTACACTTTGAAGCTGAAAATGATTCTTACTATTTCATTGGCTTCAGCAGAGCTATGGCCAGAGTGCTCTTTCAAGTTAGTGACAAAATGATTTTATTTAGTTCAACTCTGGGAGCAAAAGGCCAGTAATCTGACCTCAGAAAAGCCATTTCAAGTTCACACCTCTTTGAAAGCCTCCCTGAATTCTCCTCCTGGGGCCATTCCCAGCTGTTCTGTGATGTGAGCAGAAACCTTCAGAAGCAGCATTTGCATCAATCCAGACATGACTCCGTTCTGACAGAAGAGGAAGAAAAACAAAAAAAATAAATCAATAAGCTGTGTGGATTTCTAAGAATGCACTATTCACAGTAATGAAAAAAATAATTATTTTTATGAAGAAGCAGCACTGAAGCTATCTTTGGAGCCAATTCACTGATCAATTCAGTTCATATTTCAGTTTTTATCAGTTTACCTCACTGTGCAGCCAAAGTATTCTCACCTTCAACAAAAATGTATGGTAGAGTTAAGAAAAGAAAGGAGGACAGCCAGACTTAATTCAGTCTATATTTACTCTGCCTGCTTGAAGAAACTATCTGAATAACTTTTCTGGATACAAAAAAATAAAGGGATCACAAGAGTATATTCCATTGAATGCACATTGAACACCACGTCATACAAGATACTGAAGTGAATATCCAGTGGGCTAATCACAGACACATCCATAATCCTGGAAAACACTAGACTGAGGACTGGTTAGGTTAACAGATGCAGAAACAGAGAATCTAGCATTGTACAAGAAATTGCAGTGCATGACTTTGGCATATAAGACCTTAGAAGAGACCTCACAGTTCTGAGTACGACTAACTCCCACAAGCAGATTGAAGGTTCTCTACTACTTTTTTGAACAGAGACTTAAAATTAAAACTATTATTTTTAAAAAGAAAAAAAATTCTCCTATGTATGCTTATGCAAAATTTTTCTTCCCTGACCTTTTTACAAAAAGAATGAAAAAACATCCATTCAGAGATGTCCCTTCTGTCCAGCTCTGGGTGTCCTCAACTCAATCCTAAAACTCAGTGGATGAGTCCCAAAATGTAACCTGCACCTTGGTTACACAACTCCTCCAATCTGGCATCAGCCCATAATGCTACCAAAAGGGGCACTGCCCCTTCTCTCAGTGAAGGTTTATTTCCTGCGACATCACCAGCTTCACACAACTGAAGATGAGGCTGCACAGGACAGCCCGAGTTAATGTAGCTGCTGGACCTTATCAGAGAAAGGTCCTGGTCTTCATTCCTTGCTCAAATGACCCACCCCATGCCAGATTTAATGCTTGTGTGAGCGCTCCAAAGGCTGTAGGCAGTTTCTGCAGTTAAATGGACTTGAGTCACTGAGGACCAGAACTGGAAAAGAGAGGGGCTATTTTCAAAGACAACTGATTATCTGCTTTATCATACCACAAACTAGCAACCATGGCAGAAAGTCAGGTGTTGGGCTCCTGGGGGGAGCTTAGGAAGAAAGAAGGCAGTGAGAAAAAGTGTTTTCAGTATCCCCGAGATTGAGCTAAAAGTGCCTGGGGAACAAGGGTTTTCAGAAGTTCAGAGATGTCCACAAAAAAAAAAAAAAAAAAAAAAAAAAAGGATAATGCAGCCTCAGGTTATTTACTGGCTGATCTCCCCTTCAGGATTGGTGCACCTGAAGTTGCATTTTTACACTGTGACAGAAGATTCATCCTACTGGCTAACAGAGGGATGCATCTATGAAGTGTGTCTGAGTTGTCTGTGCTCTTAACCTGCATGAAACTCAGTGCCTACTGTATTTGTTTAGCATCAAGGAGATAAAAGGTGACAAGCAGCAACCAGCAATAACTGGCCAGCCAGATACTGCTAGGGGATAAAGAGCAAAATGTACAAAAAATGATGAGAGCAAAACGGTAAAGGAGGTTATTATCAATACCAGATTATTCAGTGTCAGATAAAGGAAAGTTGAACACAAAAGAAAATTAAATCCTGAGTGGATGGCGATAATTTTGTAGCTGAGATGCAACAGCCATAAACACAAAGCAATGCACGAGTATACAGAAATTTAACTGCACAGGCAGAAGGATGCAAAGCTATTAGCACACAGGAAAGAGAAAGCAAAACACCAGTTTTATCAGCCCAATGTTCAACAGCAGTCAGAAAACAAGAAGAGGGATTATCAGGAAAGGAACATTATGGAAACATGAATGTGCTGCTGTACAATTCTGGGCAGACTCCTGTCTTGAAAGCAAGATACTTCAACTAGAAAATGTGCAGAGAAAGACAAAACATATGAGAAGAGATTAAACACATTAAATACTCATGAGGTTTGTGAAAAGATGACTGAGGAAGATACACTGCTGGACACCATGACTAGCATGGAGACAGTGAAAAGGACAGGAAGAGGGAGGAATATCCAGGCAAAGTACGACTGCAGGTTTCAAGGCCTTTCCCCACACATCCGCTATTGGCAGCTGCCAGAGGGCTTCTGAAGAACATAAATCTTCCACTGGACTCAGCACAGGAACGCTTATACTATGTATGGGAACGCAGCCTACGGAGGGGGCCTTGGAGGTACTCTCTGACCACATAACAAGTCACAGATCCAGCACCAACTGCAGAAACAAACCATCTATACTTTCATCCACAATTCTTTTAAAACCTCTAATTCCCATGGAAGAAGCCATAACAGCCTGGAACTTGTTTTCCTACTGCTGCAAGTGCAATGGAGGTTAGACTTTAAAACACAAGTGAAGGTAGCAAGTGAATAGCAGTCTGCTCCTGTCCATATGGATGTTCCCATCACCTACCAATTCATATTATATCCATTTTATTTAACAGGACAATACTGTGGGTTACCTAAATATGGAGGTCTATATAACAAAGTGCAAAACAAGAGCTTTTTTCACTAGCCAGAAGCATTATGAGAACCAACATTACAATATATTGCTCCACAAGGTAACTTCAGACAAAAAGAAAAGGTTAAGCTAAGATTCTGCTGTCACTAGCTCACTTTCTCTTCTGCCCCAGAACAAGGTTTCTCAACTCCTCCTCTGTGCCAGGACTAGCAACCTTAAACCACAGGGAGATGATGCAGCTGAAAAACAAGCCCTGTTCAGACTAACACAGGGCCACTGTACGGACACAGAAAGGATAGCGGAACCAGGAAGCCAGAGGAGAAGATAAGACAAAACCTGTCTTACCAGTTAGGTTCAAGCCAAGTGTTACTGTGCAACTTCAAGTTATCCACATTTGAGCCAAATACCAGTTTGCACGGTGTTGCTTTGCTTAATGGAAAGCAAACGGGTAGTTCTCTGCAAACAACTGTAACGGTTTTGAAATTCAAGGAGGGCCTAAAGGAAATCTCATTTTAACCAGCAACAATAGCTTGATAAACTGTGGATGCCAATGATCCATTGCAAGTATGTTTGTTTCATGTTAACATTCTGCTCAGTTTCCATCTTCAGTTAAAAGCAATGAAACGCAATTTTGCTGCTTCATATTTATGTAAGTGATTACAAAAAGACAGTTTGTTTAGTTTTTTTTCCTAATTCCCTAACTCAGGATGAAAGTTGCAGCTGTTTTGACTTTCAGTGCAGCTTTTGGGCCTGAATGAATGCACATTTCAACGTGAGAAGGCAACTAAAGCATAACTAAGCATCTTACCAACTGTTTTGATTCTTATTAGAGAAAAACAAAGTCTTTTGCATGAGACAGTTGGACTGTTCTTCCTGGTTTTCCCTATATAACCCATGCTGCTAGTGAATTAAAGGGAAAAGGTTGAGTGTTTTTTTTTTAATTGAGACTATCAATAGAGAAATATGTTCTTTAAAAGGCCCAATGTCCAATTTTTATTATTTGCATTAACACTGGTGACAAAGGAAACTAAGACTGAGCTGTAACAAAAGGAAGGATCCTTGTAATGTCATCTGGCTTTGAAGCCAACAGAGTCTGTATTTCCTACTGTCTGCACACAAGATCACTCCAAGAGCTGGTAGGAAGAGGTAATTACAAAGCTGCCAGTACGAATTTACATCACGGAAAAAGAAAAAGTCTGGTGTTTTATTTTCATTGTCCTTTTCTTCTTAACAGAGAAGCACAGCAAGAATTGTTGCATTTAGCTTTGACATTAAAAAAAACAACTTCTGTGCCTGTTTACAAGGTCAGAAGATCCTCAGCTATGCTGCTCTGGTGGTTGTGAACATGCATTTTTTGGCTACATGCATCAGAATAATCCACCTTACCTAAAATAACAGATGGATGCAGCAATTCATGCAATATGCAAGTGGTTTACAATGTTCTTTCCTTTGATAGGGCATAAATAAAGAAAACAGGAACGATGCATTATTGCCTAACTCTGAGTCAGAAAGCCTGCTCTGAAACACCGTGTGCACACACACACATAACCAGCCCCAAGCCACTGCAAGTGCTTCTGCAGATTATATTTCTATTGGGGGTGCAGTCCTGGAAATTCCCCAATTACACCAATAAAACAATTCCAATATACAATTACCACACACCCAAAATAACAATCTATGAATTTCTTCATCCAACCAGACTCAAGTGTCCTGTCATTTTTAAGTCAACTTTGTGCTGTTTCACTGAGCCTAACTTAAAATTAATTTAAATACAAGCTAAGTGAGTGAAAGTGAAAAAACACAGGACAACACTAGTTCTGCAAATACATGCCAGACATGTCAATGTCAAGCTGCCAGGGTAGTTACAATTTGAATAGAATCCCACACTTTTCAGCCCAGATTTTTCAAAAACCTCCCTCAGGATCTACTGTCAATTAGAAACTACTCAAAAGACAAGTGGATAGGAATTAAAGAGCAACACACTAGGATGAAGAAGGAATGCAGCTAAACAGACAATATCAAAATTAAGTGCTCCTTAAAAAGATGTGATATAGATGCAGATTGCAGGAATAATAATTGCAAAGTTAAACTTGTGTCCTGCAAATGGAGCAGCTGTTAAATGCAGTAGGATCCCTGCCAAGGTCAACAACTGCCCAAATGATTCTGTGAAACAACCTGCCAAAACGATGTTGTGAAACAAAGTCCTTGATGCTTGGAAAAAAGAAAATACTCAAACCTAACTTTGCCACTGTAACAGTATTCTCACTTAGGTCAACAATATTAGGTTCCCAGCTGGTGGGAACAGTGGTTTTGGCTGCAACTTGACAAACTGCTCTTAACATAAACCTTTAATTTTCACTGTAGGAATCATACCTGCTTTATAGCTTGTTGAAGTTTTTCCAAATTTATTTCTTTGGCTTCTTTTAGTAATGTCTTTTCATCCATCTTTAACATAGAAACTCTGTACTGGCATAGTTCCACCACAACTACATCAGGTTGCACTTCTTGTATTGTCTGAAAAAAAAGAATTTATTTACACTGCTTTAGAAAGGAATAAACAGAAATGCAGCCAATTACAATACTTTAAAGAGAAAAGTGACTTAAAAAGCACATTCCAACAATCATTTTCAATTAAAAAAACAGTGGAATAGTAAATAAGACTTCTCCAAATAGCTATGTATTGAGAAAAATATTAAGGAAGCAAACTGCCTTAGTTCCTGGATGCTGTGGGACAGGAAGATGAAGAACACATTGTGCTGGGGAGGAGAGCAGGAAAGAAACACTTGATGTTAAACTTTTCACATTCACAAAATTAATTTGACCATACTCTGTGATTATTTGCAATCTGAGTAAGAACCATGGTTGATGATTCTGGCACAAGATTTCTCCCCCTCTAGCTCCTGGATAATAAAGCCACTCTAAACTGCAGATTTCACATGAGGTACAGTATGAAATTGTTCCTACTTGCACCATTCTTGAGACTGGATCCAAGTTTGGGACAGCATGGTTTTACAGCCAAGTATTATACAGGTGACGTAAGTTTCACTACTGAGATTTCAACTTGCAACACTGACACTGTATCGGTTTGGTTTTTTTTAAGAACAAATAAAAATATTTGAGATGGGAGAGCAATGTATTGCATCAAAAATTATTACTATAACATGTCTGCCTCTCATCCCACAGTGCTGTTAGCCTTTCAACAGTCAACTAGAAAAAAACAGAGCCTGAAGGTTACAGCACAGAACCAAGTCAGAGAGCTAGACTTTATTCTACTTAATGCTAAGTTGACAACATTATAAACATGCTGCTGAAGGGCTCACACTTAGCATTTACCTTTACTACATCCTTTTTGCTGCTGTCACTGAAGTGAGCTGTTCCAACCACATACACTTTAGAACCATCCTCAGTGTCAAGCTCAGTCACAGTGCTTGGTAAAGCAGGCTTTTTCTGTCTCTTCTTCAACTTCATCTCCAGGAGAATTTTAAATGCATCTGCATCAGCTATAAGTGTATAGAAAAACAAAAGAAAAGCCCACATGATATAAAGTGCAGGTAAGTAAAACAGAAAATAAATATGTCGCCACTAAACAGCAGAGCAGAGCTAAAAGGCCATTGATTTACCACTGTAATCTTACATTCAGTTCTGAGGCTAGATCATTGAGAGTGCCATCACTGGAGAGGCTGCCTCCAAGCATGGGTCTCAGTCCAGGTTTCCTACCCTGTGGACACTGGGACAGGTTGTCCACGCAGTTCAGTAAGGGAAAGAGAGAAGCTGTGTGGCAGGTGAGGTGGATAGAGAAGCAAAGAATACTTAGAAAAGGTATACACTAAATTAGGAAAAAAAAAAAAGAGCATTTTTTAAATTCTAAACCAAAATTGTCCCCTTTTGGGATTTTTATCTATATAAAAGATAGCAACACATGTACACTGGTGTGACTGTGCTGGCAGTCAACTGCACATATTGGCACACACAGGATACCTACAGTACCAACCTTAGCCTTTTCCGTGATTAACACACCAGAGATCAGTACACAATTAAAAATTAAACCTCAAGAGGTAGTTAGATCAGGAAACCGATCATTTTTCCCTAGTTTCAACAAACTATTTAAGATCAAAACGGTACAAGGTGAGTTTAGCCCATCTATGTCAAGCCTGCCATATGGAAAATAGGAGGATCTATCAGTTCTGTCACTTGTTGCTAGTTAAATGCCAGATAGCCTCATTAACTGAGATAGAAAAGCTTCAACTCTACATCACTGGAAAATATAGTCACTTTGAATGAGTATCTTAGAGCTGTAACGCATCTTAGAAAAAAAAGTATCAAGCAGGAAAGCAGAGTTTTGTTTCCAACCAACTCTCTTTCTCTGGCAAGCTGCTGTACAAGTTAGCAGAGGTCTCAAGTGGTCTCCAGAAGCCTGGAATAGGATCATAATCCCAGGGGAAAAAAAAAAAGGTTAGTGAACAGTTTGCAGGCAGGATGTCAAAGATGCAGATAAATTAGTCTCCTATCATACATTCATTTCATGAATCTGGTTTAACTGTGTGGTTCTGGCCCCAGATCTGTCCCACAAATACTTGTAAGACTTTACATAAAAAAAACCCAAAAAACCAACAAAACCAAACCAAATCAAAAAACCCCTACCCAAATAAAAAAAAAAAACAAACACCCCCCCCAAATTAAAAGAACCCCACCCAAAACAAAAGCAACCTTTCAACATCCTTCTGAGTCAGAATTTCAGCAGCCTACAACTTCATGGTCAATACCCAAGAACATGGTGTGTTGCAATCAGTACTGTCTGAGCTAAGACAATGTTGCTGCCAAAGTAGATGGTGATGCTAAGGAGAAGGTAGGGAAAATGACTGAAAAAGGAAGAAGAGGTAGAGCTGTTGCATTTGTAGCACTCTCAGTCACGTAATAATAAAAACAGCCATGGTAGATCAAACAAAATCCACCTAAGCAAATATCCTGTCTCCCACAATGGTCAAAAGTGGATGTCTAAGGGAGAATATGATAAATGGGGACATGTGCACATACTTGCCCCAAATACTCTCCTAGCCTAAAGATATTTATGGTTCAGATTCCCCCAGTGGAAAGCGGTTTCTACATGTTCGGTAACCCTTAAAGGATGTAACTTGTACTTATTTTTCAAGCCTTTCCCTCATATATATGCTCAGAACTGGACTGAATAATGTTTCATGTGAAGAAAAACTGCTGTAACGGTACAGTACTAGATATTAAATTTAAGGACACAATCAAGGAAAACCTTCTCAGGAACAGCAATGGTTTTTATTAAACCAACTTCTACACCTGGAGAAAAAAGTAATATAAATTAATCTGCTTCTTTATGTCTGAATATATTTCCCATAGCTTTAGTCAAGGCTCTGTTTGCTCCCATGAAAGCTGAGATGCCTGGGGATTATTCAGCAACTTCAGCATTATAGTAATTTTGCTGTTACTAATTTGCCCTAAGGTGGTTCAGAGCCTATTATTTGCCAAAAAGCACAATCTGAATGTTCCTATGAGCATTGTTATAAATGAGCACTGTATACATTAATATCACAACAGTATATCAATATACGTACAGCAAATCCTAAGAAGCCTTTGTTTTCTCCTCCAGAGAAAGAAATGCCTGCCATTATTTGATCCCTACCAATGACAGGGAAGGATCGATACACTTCCTTGGCTTCACAGGACAGTTTTGGTTGGAATACTTCTGTTCTTACATCCTGCAGGCTTGGCCTTCATATCAAAACATTATCATGCTAGCATGAGCAATGCATTCCATTTGGGACAACTGATCAACATTGAATCACAAGATGCCAGACTGCTGAAGTAAACCATACTTATGCATCAGTGGCTTAGTAAGCAATGACTGAGCTCAAAAAAGTATCTGAGTGTATGTATTAAATCTTAAAATATTTACTTTCTTTTTAAAGTACGGGATCAGCAAACTGACAATCGATATGTCATTACTCTTTCTAAATTTGATTTACACAACTGAGCCTTGAAACAAATCATGAACAGATTAAGTCAGATGTGACCTTATTCACACCTCTCTTTGTGCTAACAGCCACATCCATATTAGGTAAGGAAAAGTTAAGGACATTTAGTTTAATACACTTCCAATGTGATACACCCTCCCCAGTCAAACCAGAAACATACAGATATTCTGCGATACACTGGACGTTTCCTTTGGGCCATCTTCTGGTGCATCAGAGGAGGACATTGGATCTGCAGCAGCCTGTACGAAACAAATTCAAAAGGAGGCTGGGAATTATAATGAAATGTTTTAATATATCTTTCCCTTTGTGAGCTTGCTCAATTTGAACCTACATATAATATTCAAGCAAGTAAATAATTTAAGCAGTGTCACAAGTCAAAACATCTGTGGTTTTACAACTAATTTTCCCAGCTGCATAAGTATGAGAAAGAACACATTAAAAACTACTTCATGCCTATTTTACAAGATAGTAAACTCCTGATGTGGAGTTTTAAAATAAATTGGATTCTAGATAAAAAGAACAAATTTATCTCTAACACTACTATAGCATTTTCTGTGTTGGAAACTAAAATGTGCACTGATTATTTTAATACCATTTAACTCAACTACCAGTCAGCATTAGTCTGTCAGGAGTCTGAAAGTTAATCAGCACTCACAAGACTAAACACGTCCATTCTAGAAGAGTCAGGCCAAGTATTTTATTTGTTGGAATAAGTGTAAGGCAATTACACAAAATGCACACCCAACCTTATAAAGTTATGTGCATGATGACTTTATAGATATATATATTTGAAATCAAAATCAAAAAGAAACATGGCATCTGCATAGTTTTGTCCTCTAAAGGATCAGAAGGTAACTGAAAAGATTCCCTAAGACTGACTCTTACGTATTACCACTAGAAGTACATGATGTGGGACTTTGGCCAACAAAAACCTTTTTTATTTTTAATTAACAGGCAAGTTTTAAAACCCATGCATAGAATCCAATCAATCCCAGTCATTCAGCCAGTGTCATCCAAGCCAGAGAGGCAGAGTTAGTGCAGAAAAGAGACTTAGGAATAAGGGAAAGCTAAACCATAAATTATCTTTAGGCACCTACATTAATTCAAAGTTTAATCAAAATTATTATTGGGAGAATTTGGAATTCCTGAACAGCATTGAGTCAAAAAGTTAGAGACTGGATGCGAATCCATCATTATTCAAGTACTTTCCAAGTGAAAGGCAGTATTAATGAGTCAGCAAGCAGGCAGCCAAGCTCTCCTGACGGATGCCAGCCTTTTAGCTAAAATGACTGTTTTATTTACTTTGTACTTAACTTGGTAAGATTTAAAGCAAGACTGTACAAAGCACATCCAATTGTTAAGAGCTTTCAACAAGAGTAGTTATTTTCTTCTTGCACTCCATTAAGCCAAACAGGAATTTTCAGAAAATAAAGCCTGGGTGTCTTACCGTGGCCCCACTGAATGCAAGAAAAAATTTATGATACATTTCATGGAGTAAACTCAAAAAGTAGAACAGCTTTACAGTGCAAAGTCTAAAATACTCACAGCAACAGATCATCCTTTCACTACAAAGCAAAAGTCTGTTCATTGACAACTGCAAACTGCAATTACACTGCAAACTGCAATTACATTCACAAATCTAATTTAACACCAGCTCAGCTTTTGATCACAACATATGGCTTGACTCTATTACTTGCATACGTTAACTCTAGTCACAGAAATATTTTGGAAAAATTTATCCATCTGTAACATATGGAATTAATTCTGTCACTTATGCTGGCTTTGTCATCATAGGATCACAACACCGCAGAGAGAAAAGCACTAAGCCACCACATGAGGAGTCTGTTGTTCTTTTTTAAAATTAATTAACAGGACAAAAGAACTGACATTCTTATATCTCATAAGATAAAAATTTCCTGAACTTTCCCTATTATATCAGAAAAAAGTTTTGAGATGTATGGATATGAAAGAAGAGAAGGAACAGGAAGGGTAGAAAAAGCATGTCACTTTAATGTGGCAAGGAACTTAAGCCATGTACAGTGAGATGATTTGTATCTAATCACTTTCTTTAATTTACTCACAAAACATTTTTTCCTCCTAAACGTTTAATCTCATAGGTTAGGCTATTTTCTGCAATTCCTCAGTTTCAAGTAGATTAATACAAAATACCCTATTTAGCTTTTGCAATTGGAGGGAAAAGAACTTAAATGTGGTAAAAAATAGCACTCAGCTCCCCATCTCCCTGTTTTAAAAGGAGTCTCAAGCTGGTATTTTCAACCCTACAACTCTGCAGAACTTCCCCAAGGATGAGTGGAAGAACCTGGCTGATTCAGTCTTGACCTTCCCTGCAATTATATTGAGAAACAAACTTGTCTCCATGCCCTACCTCAGGCTGTTGCTCCTCTTGCATCCCTGCAGCAGAGGCTTATTTTCACCAACCACACAAGAACTGCAAGAAGTAAGAGTAATGAGAGAGAATTAAAAATTAATGGCATCACCCAGAATACTTGCTTAAAAACTGTAAAGGGGAAGAAAAAAGTAAATGTGTCTCTACAGTTTCAAATAAAGGTTGAAGTAATAAAAGTGGCAAACTGAAGATGCACAAACGTCACTTATTCAACTCTCCTGCTGTTAAAATAACCACATCAAACAACAAAAACAAACCAACAGCAATTCCTCCCCATCAGTAGGGTAGAACTAGCCTGTTTCAGTATGGTTCTTGAGGTGGCTGTAAATCCAGAGCACAGTCCTGTTCTCACACACACAGAGTATCTTAATAAACACAGGTGGATTTCATGGGAACTTGGAATTTGCTTTTTTTACTGTCTTAAAAATGCCTTTTTCCTCCAGATCAGTTCATAAGTGGTTGTCACGGTTGTCAAAAGGGTTTTTGCAATAGCAAAATAGTTCTGTCTTATCCAAATAAACTACACCAAGACAGTTTTTATGCAAATTTTAGGAATCATCTGTATTTCTAGGACTTCACCACTACACAGAATAGGAGAGCAGCCACAATCTTAATATTCAACTAGAGCCACACACAGTTATTTGATCAGCATCATGTGATCACATATATTTACAAATATGCCAGGGTCAGAACATCAGTAAGATTGTGTCTGTGTGAAAAACCCAGGAAATTTGGTTTTCAAACCCTTAGTGAATGGTTTCCATGTCTTAGTTTAACAACATGGATGAAAGAAGGAACCTTAAAAGTCCAGAGTTTTTCCTGAAGCTGGAGAGTGCTATGTTCTGACTTGGGTGGTACTCTAAGGGGATTGCACAAGACACTGAATGCATGACTAGCACTCATTCTGCTTATTCTCACTGCTATCCCACTAAAATTGAAGCACTCAAAGAAAGTGCTGCTTCTTCATTACAACATTTTGGGTTATCTTCCTTTGACTTTTTTCACAGTATATGTGAACAGTGTTTTATTTCATTAGGCTGGAGAGCAGTCCTGACCAATTTAGCCATACAACAAATTTGCTCTAAAGAGTGGAGGGACAAGTTTGGCTCCTGTCCTATGCTCAGGTGATGCTGGAGGAAAGCTGGGTGGCTGGCTATCTGTATATGACAGTGTATTTCAGCACACAATGTGATGGGAAGCCTCCCCCTTTCCCAAATACAAGTTTCCTGCAGTCAGATTAGTGCTCTGCATCCTGGTTTCTGGCCTTTACTTTCAAGTCAGCTGTTCCACTTTCTAGCTTTGCTTAAAATACGTTTCTTTAAAAGAGCATTTGCCTGGGCAGTGTGAAGCATGTGAATGTAATTCCAACCACTGGCACACCTCCCTCCATGTGCTCGCGGAGGGATTTCAGCAATTCCTGCCTTCGCACTGTCCACTGCTAGCTGTCAGCTGGCAAACTGGAGATCACAGCTGCAGGCTGGGCAAGAAAAAAGTGGAGCGGCCGAGATGCTGGCTTCTGCATGGTTCCTGGAGCAAAAGGCCCATGAAACCCAACAGAGCCCCACACTCAAGCAGGCAACAGCTACAGACGCAGCTCCCAAGCTGTGAGGCAAATACCTCATTAAAATAAAAATACAAACTGCAAACAGTGCCAAAAGGTTCAGTAAAACAAACTTCAAAGAAATGAGAGAAGTCTGCACAGGCAACATAAGCACTCCACTGGTTTTGCATAATTTTGCATAATTTAATTTTCAAACCAGGACCATGCTTTGCCATCTTCCAAGGAGTCAGGTCAAGGAAACTTGGATGTCAGAGTAAGCTAAAAGGGCAGGTGAAGCTGAGTTGCTCTTCTGTTTCAGTGTTTCCACAATTTACATGTGGTGTGGACAAATCTAAAGAAGCACAGCAAAGGAAACCCCTGCCAGGAGACCTGCAACCTGAATGGGACACACCAACCCACTGGCTCCTCCCTCCAGACAGTCTGGTGGCTTTGTGAGTTTAAGTGAGCCCAGAGCCTGTTTTTTATCCTGTCCCGTCTCTGATAGACTGGTTTAACTACTTGTTGACTTAGGCACTAAACTAGACTGAAAAGCAGATTCAGATTAAAGAACAACCTTCCTTCCCCCCCTCCTATGCTACCAAGGCATTTTAAGCTCAGATAACCAAACAGCTGTAGGAACAACTGCAACAGCAAAACTGGAGGGACAGCATGAAGCAGAGATGCTGAAACCAAATGCCCTCTGAGAACATGCTTGTCCAACTACATCATCACCCAGGGTATACCAATACTCTGATGCTCAGCTCTGGACTTGGTTCTCAACTGGTTTATGTGCAAAATACCACAGTGTTTTTCTGCCCTAAGCACAACCTAAAGTTCTAAGTTTGGTTAAGGCCTTCTGATGTTTGAAAACTTGTCTCTTATCTACAGAGTGCTCTTAAAAATAGTAAACTGCAAGTTCTGGTTAAAGAACAGACTTCTATACAGAAGCACTGAGTGGTATTTTTTCCCACCAAGTGACATTTTAGAAAACCTCATCCCATTCTCACCACTGACTAAATTATATATCTGATACTGGCAGGGGGGAGGCAGGGAGAAAAAGTGAGATATCTTTGAAGTTTACTCATGCTAACCAGCACCACTTTTCAACTGACCTGTACAACCTTTGGAAAAAGCAAAGCTGTTTGTTCACTGTGGTTCCCAGCTCCAGCCTTGCAGAGAACCCATGGCACAATACCTTGAAGGCCAGATGAGAGACTGGGCAGCCACAATAACAGGCAAGTCTGCCACTGTTTTCTTCTAAGACAAGCTCAAGAAGTGGGCCCATAGGAATCTCATAAGGTTTAACAAAACCAAGCGAAAGGTGCTACACCTGGGTCGGGACAACCCCTGGCATCAATACAAGCTGGGGGATGAAGGGATTGACAGCAGCCCTGCTGAGAAGGACTTGGGAGTGCTGGTGGATGAGAGGCTGGACATGACCCAACAATGTGAACTCACAGCCCAGAAAGACAACTGTGTCCTGGGCTGCATCAAAAGCAGTGTGGGCAGCAGGTCAAGGGATGGGATTCTGCCCCTCTGCTCTGCTCTGGTGAGACCCCACCTGGAGTGATGCATCCAGCTCTAGAGTCCCCAGCACAGGAAGGACATTGACCTGTCAGAGCAAGTCCAGAAGAGGCCACCAAGATGATTAAGAGGGAGAGAGCATCTCTCCTACAAGGAAAGGCTAAGAGAATTGGATTTGTTCATTCTGGAAAAGATTTTGAGGTGACAGGACAGAGGGGAATGGGAATGGCTTCAAACTTAAAGAGATTAGGTTTAAATTAGATATTAGGAAAAAATTCTTTACTGTGAGGGTGGTGAGGCTCTGGAACAGGTTGCCCAAAGAGGTTGTGGATGGCCCATCCCTGGAAATGTTCAAGGCTAGGCTGGATGGAGGTCTGAGCAACCTGGTCCAGTGGCAGGTGTCCCTGTCCACAGCAGGGAGGTTGGAACTAGATGACCTTTAAGATTCCTTCCAACCCAGGACATTCTGTGGTCTTGTTTTCAGGTGCTCAGATCTGCTCAAGTTCCACTGGAGGTGAAATTTTCCATGCAGAAGACCTGTTTCTGCATTCACCAGAGTACAGACAAGTCTGGCTACTCAGCTAGCCAGCATCCTCCTCAGCAGCACTGGCAAAAGTCCATTCCCCCATATTTGGGGCATTAGTCAAATACCTTGGACTCCAGGCCGACCCAACTTATCCACATTGAAAAGACACTATCCCTGTACATCCCTGTATTCATAGAAGATTTCTGTATGCCTTGATACTTGAAATATAATCTTGAAACCTCTGAGAGAAGACTGAACATACCTTGCTGTTACACAGATAACAAACTGAAGCACACGAATCTGTAAGCACTTCCTTCCACCATGTCCAACAGCAAGAAAAGGTGCTGATTCAGATCAAATCCTGGCAAACATCTGAACAACTTAAATCCATGCCTTTCCAAACTTCTTAGAGCTTGACTTCTCAACCTGTGTTTTCTTCTTTTTTTTCAAAAGTTTAACTTCCTAAAGAAATGATGAAGGTAACAACGCACTTATTTGTCTGTGCTTGCTAACCCATAGGTGAATTTTAAACAGACTTGGCAGGGAAGGAAGAGTCTCACAGTCATTTAGAGATGCAATGCTCAGCACTGCTCCTCCAGGAAAAAGAGATGACTGAGGATTACAGAGGGCGATGGATGTGAAAAAGACATGGTCTCTTAAGACACCTAGGCAACCAAAGAGGAATTTTTGAGACCACCAAAAGAACTGCAAGCCTACAATTTAGCCATTACTCATCTCTACTGATAGGCACCTATTTCCTGTCAAGGTCTTCTTGTCCTGACAGCACACACAAGACAGCCATTCCACATTGGCAAAAGCACTGCTGAAGAGGAGCTGTATTTTTCCCATGCAGATGGGCCTTATTCTCTTCCCCCCAAAAGAACAAGTTCGACATCTTCTAGCAATGTTTATCCTGCAGAGGCTGATAAAGTAGAGTGAGAAAGACCTCCCCGCCATGCTTATGTCACATCAGCCCTCCAGCTTTCCTAATATAAAACAGCTTCAGCAGCACTTCCTCTTTGCGTGAAATATGCTCATGAACTACTGGCTCATTTTTCATACTTGGTAGTCTTAGCTAACCAGAGTGTTTCAGTTCTAGCTGCATATTTAGGTATCTGAAACTCTCTTAGCTTGCAGTCTCAAGAACACAAGAGGTACACTCACAAATCAGGGGTTCTAGCAAGGCAAGTAAAAGACCAAATGCTCTTTCCCGTTTCATTTCAATGATGTAGTTCAGTGAGAAAATTCAAGCACAACACAGGGAATGGACAGGCAATTCATTAAGGTACCCTACAGTAGGACAGCATTTCTTCTTTTATTGTGTTGTTTAAATTTGCTTTCTTCAGACAGTGATTCAACTGAATCGATAAAAAAGTTCTCAAAAAGCTCTCATGCTTCAACCTATAAAACCTAGTCAGCTACTCTTTAAAAAGAAGATTTTTATTGAATGTT